AATCAAACAAACACAATCAGCCATTTTGGTCCATTCTGGCCCAGATGCTAATACAGGGCCTCTTTGCTGCTGTCCTTATCACCTACCATTCTTTTTCTTTGGGAGATGGGGGTCATTTGATGAAATATGATCATGGACACAGCATGTTTCTTGCTTTTCCACAAACATGTTACATCTGTGTAACATGTTTACATAGTGCTCTGACTTTGATGCTGCTTGTCCTGTGTTAATGAATAGGTTTCAGTTTCTGCAGCCTCATGTTGTGGACAGAACCTTTGGAGAGGTGAAGGCTCCCACATGTCTGCTGGACTCTTGCTCTTCCTGGTTTAAAAAAGCTGCCAGAGAGGGACTAGTCAAGTGGGTAGGAGGAGTGATGAATGCCCCCTGCAGCATGGTAGGATCCCAGCATGCTTATAAGATGCAAGAGTAAGACCATTGCTGAAAAAGCACTCCTTGAATCTCATGATACTGTACAATTACTGGCCAGTCGCTAATATTCTATTTTGGGGCAAGGTGCTGGAGCAGGTTATGGTTTCTTAGCTCCAGGGACTCCTTGATGAGATGAATTACCTGGATCCATTTCAACCTGGCTTCAGATCTGATTATGGGACAGAGACTGCTTTGGTCATGGTGGATGATCTACGCCAGGAACTGGACATTAGAAATGTGTCCCTGTTGGTTCTGCTGGACCTCTCAGTGGTTTTCAGTACCATCTCCCATGGTATCCTTCTGGGCCATCTTGCTGAGATAGGACTTGTGGGCATTGATTTACGGTGGCTCTGGTTCTTCCTGGAGGGAAGAACTCAGAAGGTGATGCTTGGGGACTCCTGTTTGACACTCTGACTATTGCCTGTAGTGTCCCTCAGGGTTCTGTTTTGTCCCCTATGCTATTTAACATCTACATGAAACTGTTGGGAGAGGTTTTCAGAGTTTGGGGGTTTGGTATCACCAGTACGTGGATGTGGCGTCCATCTTCGTGCCCCTTGCTTGACCTTCAAGCCCCAGAGCACACGAAGGCAAACAAACCTCACTCTTTTCACTTGCTGCCACCAGGTGATCTCTAAATCACCATTTACTTCAGAAGGATTCAGGTCCACACGTCAAGTTCTTTTAAATAAAACCTTGGTTTATTGATTACAAAGATTCAAAAATATCTTCAGTAGTTCATCACATCTAAATTTCCCAAACTACACACTCTATTACTCTGTCTGGCTTTTCTCTCCTGCCTGACTCTTAAATTTCTCTCACTGACTCAGTCTGACTTAAACTCACTTAATCTGCTGATTCCACCTCTCATAGCATCTCTCATGGCTCCGCCTCACAGCAATATGAATATTCATAAACCATTACATAATACAAGAACCATAGATCTAATAACTGGAGAATGCTACAGTGGATGACACACAACTAATGGACTGGATGAGGGTGAATAAACTGAAACTGAAATCTGCAAATTATAAGAGGCAAATCAAGGAATAGGAATGGAGCCTGTGCTGGGCCATGTTACAGTCCATCTGAAAACACAGGTGGTCAACTTGGGTGTGCTCCTGGATTAATTGCTGAGCCTGGATGCCCAGGTTTTGGCAGTGGCCAGGAACGCATTTGCACCACTAAAAGTAGTGTGTCAGCTATATCCATTCCTGGAGAGGTCTGATCTGGCCACAGTAAACATGCCTTAGTTACATTCTGGCTTTATTGTAATGCACTCTACATGGGACTGCCTTTGGAAAGTGTTCGGAAATTTCAGTGAGTACGAAACACAGCTGGGCCTGGACCCCCATTTTTACAGCATGTCCACCGGCTGGCGATCCACTGCCAGGCTGAATTCAAAGTGCTGGTTTTAACCAATCAATCCCTAAACAACTTGGGTCCAAGCTACCTCAAGTACCATGTCTCCCTTTATGAGCCTGCCTGAGTTTCAAAATCAACAGAGGAAGCTTTTCTCCTCATGGCACAGTGGTTAAACTACTGTACTACAGCCAAAACATTGCTCACGATCTGGGGTTCAATCCCAGGTAGCCAGCTCAAGGTGGACTCAGCCTTCTATCTTTCCGAGGTTGGTAAAATAAGTACCCAGCTCGCTGGGGGGTGGGGGCATTGTGTAGCCTGCATAATTAACTTGTAAACCACCCAGACAGCGCTCTCCTCATGGCACAGTGGTTAAACTACTGTACTACAGCCAAAACATTGCTCACGATCTGGGGTTCAATCCCAGGTAGCCAGCTCAAGGTGGACTCAGCCTTCTATCTTTCCGAGGTTGGTAAAATAAGTACCCAGCTCGCTGGGGGGTGGGGGCATTGTGTAGCCTGCATAATTAACTTGTAAACCACCAAGACAGTGCTTTAAGCACTATGTGGTAGTATATGAGCAGCACACTTTGCTTTCTTTCTCTTGGTTCTACCACCTTCACAGGCACATTTTGTGGGAACATTGGAACCAATCTTCTCCATTGCTCTAAATTTTAAACCATAAGAGGCTAAACCTATGAAGAACAAAAACAACACACCGTATTGAATGGATGAATGCTGATGAGTGTCTCCCAAGAGGACAAGATTATAGCTGGACCATATGGAAGTCACTTAATAGACTTCAAAGTGAAAAAAGAAGGTTAAAAAAATAATCAAATAAAATGGGGCTACTTGGATACAGGACAGTTTTTCTGGAACTGGGAAGAAATTCAATCAATGCAGCCTTGATGTGTACACAATTTATGCCCCACCACACGTACAAAAGAAAATCTAGTAAGTGAAGTCATAAGTAGCAAGTGAAACTATTGAAATAGCCCAAATCTGACAAAATGTCTAATTATCTTAACATTTTGTTTTAATTTTACCTTTATTTAATATCTCTCCATAATTTTTAACTGTGCAACACTCTGATACGAAGGAAGGAAGGAAGGAAGGAAGGAAGGAAGGAAGGAAGGAAGGAAGGAAGGAAGGAAGGATAGTAGGATAGAAAGAAAAGTCTTTTTATCCCACAGTCTTGCAAAGTATTCCAGTATTCATGTAACCTTTAGACATGCCTTCACCATTGGCAAGTGAAAGCACTATGGGTGAATTAACAAGGGGGGAAATGAGATAAATATATTGGCACAATCATTTATTAGCATTAGATCTGGTTTTATAGCAGCTGGGAAATAAATCTGTTTAAGTGTATTTAAAATAACATACTCAACCTGGTGAATTTGACATTTTGCAAACTTTCAGAAGTGTAGTTCTGTGTATTCTCAAACTCCTGTTAATAACATTCAATGGAAGCAGCAAGAATATGACAGATAAAGAGTTGCAAGAAGTCCATGTTGGCCTCTTCACACAGTAAGTTGGATCCAGGCTAAGCAAACTGAGTTGGATCCCATTGATACCAGTTCACCGCATTAGTTTCAGCTTGCTTCATGCCTTCAACTGAAGCTAAGTTCAGCTAACTTAGTCTGCAATGTAGATCCATCTTGTTACAATTATAAGTGAAATCTACAACAAATATGGAGAAGGCTGCAACTACACTTTCAGAAAGGACCAAGATCACATTCAAATGATGCAAGCCCTGGTGTAGTTTTTTTTTTTAAAATGAGCATTGGTGCATTAGTCAACCAGTGTTGGAAGGCTTCCCAGATACTGACAGCACTGTGGTCAGGGCTCAATATGTGGCAAAACTAAGCCTTTGGGTGAAAATTCTAGGTAAACATTCAGCAGAAACCTTTAAAAGCTACACTTTGCATAGCTTTGATATAGCATTTAGACAAAGAACCAGCCATCAGGGGACCTACCACTAGCCAGTATCTACTCTCCAACCTAAATGGGAGGGGCTCCTGTAAGTGTTAGTAGTGTTGGCCACACTGTAATGTGCACAGCATATGTGTGTGAGGCAGTTACACCAGCTCTCTAGCTAGGCAGAAGCCTTGGTGGCCACTTTTATGATCTGTTATGAGGAGTCCCCTCATCAGGTAAGGTTTGCCACACACACCTACTCCTCCTGGGAAATGGACGCAAGCTGATGTCTCTGGTGCCCTTAACATAGACTAACAGGCAAGGAGTATCACAGGAATATAACCAGTAATATGGGATCTCACACTGCTGCAAAGAAGAAAGCAAAACCCCTGAATCAATAAACTCCAGTATGCTCCATCAGCAAGCTTCATACAATTCCTCCCTGGATCCATTAGCTGGTGACTAATATAAAATTCATAGCAGTTGAGGGCTATTCACAGCAACTTTGAAATGTTCAATGATTAGGGCTATGTGTAGGGTTCCAATCCATGTAGGCCTCCAGGAGTAGCAATACACCTGGGAACTCCATTGGTATGCAGGGGGCTGGGACATCTGAGAGGCCCAGGGCTGGAAAACAACCTTGGGTCAGGGGAGGGACACATATGCAACCCGTAGAATCACTTTATTCACCACTGTTCTTCAAACTGACACTTATTAAGAATGAATATTAATTTTGTGTATGAGACCATCACAAACAACAGAGCAAACTGAATAAAAGTGTCCCCGACCCACCCATATACAGTTTTCTCTCTTGAACTGGAAATGCATGCTGACTTTAGAGCCTGTTTTCTAAAGCAAGCCATCACAAGCATTATAGATTGTGCTGTTCTGTCTTGAGTTTTGACATGTTTTATCATGATAGAGGTGAACTTGAATAAAGGTAAACAAAGGAAAGCTTGCTGGTGATTTTTTCTTGTTGTTCTTTTAGCAAGTTAGATTTGCTTCAATTTTACGATCAATTTGACCACACAAGTCCTTCTGCATTGTTGTTGTAGTAAGTCTCCAAGTACCCTGAGGCATTTGCCTGTTTCTAATAAAACAATGCAGAGTAATACAGAGGAATGTGCAGGGAAGCCTACCTATACAGTACTGCATAAAGAATAGACACAGTTTTTCCAAACTGTGGTAGATCAAAAACCCTCTAATTCATATATAACATGGTGTGTTTTCATTTTTTGTTTTTAGTCCTGGCTGAAGAGCCACTTATCTTCCAAGAAGAATGCAGTGGTGTCTTACCTTGTAATTGTTCCCAGGAACACCTCCGCCTGATCTGGCTTAGATTTACAAACCACTGGGAATCCATTATGGCTGGTGCTGACCAGGAGTTCAGCCAAGAAAGCAACATTTTCCTTTAAACGGAGAACCCTGACGTGACGCTTCATGACATCTCTGGCAGCAAACAATTCCAGATTTAGCCTGAAAGACATTCAGCAGACAGCCAACAATTTATTTAGTAAACAGGAAGCAAAGTGTGCTCTACCATGTTAGCGTCTGATGACTTTATAATGTGCTGGGAAATTACTTCAAGCTGCAAATAAATTGAGGTTTTTTTAAATTTGTGAATATTTTGTTTAAAAGGTAATTAGCCAGTAAGTTAATTGTCAAGAATAACCTATGAGTAAGATGTATGATAAATCCAATCAGATGCAATTAGTGGTTTTTCTAAGAGACATTAATCAAATTTCCCAATTTTTTAAAAGCTTTGTGCTTCAAAATCCTAACTAAAAATGAAATCAGCAAAAACATGTTCAAGTTATAAAAAGTTCTTGGAGGCAGAAGGAGAACTGAAGGAAGAAGTAAAAATAAATCTGGCATTCATAACAATGGAAGAAGAGTTAATGGTGCTCAGAACAGTTGGCCCACACAAATCCACAAAACTATTGAGGAAAATTTGTGCCACATCTGTTTTATTTATAATATTTTAACAGTTCGTAGTAAATTTTTGGCTGCCCTGTGGAGCAATGCTGGCAGAGTAGGAAGTCTAACCCAAAATCTGATAAACCACCTTTGTTACCATTATACATTTTAATTTCATGCATGGTGGCCATATGTCTTCTATTTGAAAGCATCTTCTGTCTCAGAACTGAAGGAAAACAGGGATGTCCAAATTTAACTGAAGTAACCGCTTAGATAGTCATCATGGCCATTGCATTAAGACTCAGGAGAACTGAGCTGAAAACACTACATTTGCTGGCTGGCCAGCTGGCTGGTTTGTTTACAATAGTTTACCCATCCTTAAGAACAACCCAAGGCAGTTTACACCATTAAAAAACAAAAGAAGCTAAAAACAGTAAATATACAATGCTAAAAAGAATCAAACAAATAACATACTTAGAAATGATAAACAAAAGCAATACCAAATCACATTCAAAGTAATAAAGTACAACCATCCATTTTAAAAAAACATGGATAGCCAGTCACTGAGGGAAAGCTTGCCTGAAGAGAAAAGTATTTGTCTGCTTATGGAAGGAGAACAAAGATGGGGACAGCCTGGCTTCCTGTGGGAGGGAGTTCCAATGTCTGGGAGCAGCAACAGAGAAGGCCCTCTCCCATATCTCCACCAAATGCAACTGTGAAGGTGGAGGGCCAGAGAGAACATCCTCTCCTGATGATATTAGCACACAAGGAGGCTCATAATGGGAGATGCAGTCCTTGAGATAAGTTAGACTCAAGCCATTTAGGGTTTTATAGATTAAAACTAGAAATGGATCAGCAGCCAGTGGTAGGAATGTAAAGGTTTTTCTGAATTTATAAGTTTTATAAGAATTTATAAATCCATTTATAAGTTAGCATATAAATGGAGATCCTGGCAGGCACTCAAATGCCATCCTTTGTCCAAGGAGCTCAAAACATCATTAACTTGTTTTTAATTTACAGTAATGTAGTGCAACAACAAGAAACAGACAACTAAAGATGACAGTATCGTAAAAATATATACATATTTTGGCATGGTCTACTAAATTATTAAAGATAACAATGGAATGCAGGACATCTTGCATACTTTAGTGACTAATTTCATGGGTCTACAAAATGTAAAATGCAGATGGGAATAAGGGCCCAGTGGCAACATCAAGTCTATCTGCAGCCTTTATAAACAGCAAATGAGGTGATAAGCCTGTGTTGAGGTTATACTACTTCAGATTCCAGGAGGAATTCGCATGATTGACTATATTTAAAAAAAAAAACAACAACAACAGTTTTTTGAAAAATAAAGTTTTGAAAAATAAACAGAACTATTGTAGCAACTTAAAGACTGTATGTTGCAGTGGATCACGATCCACTTTCTCAGAAATGGAGTGCAATGTTTAGCCACAGATACACAAGTTATGCATGGTTTGTATGAATCCTCATACAAACTTCACACCAAGTGAAGAAGGAAACAGGCAGAGATTGGGAACTTTCAAAACAACAGTAGTGTCAGTAACACAGGTAAGAATCTTTCACCATGTTGATTACATATACATCTTTGCCATATGGCTATTTGCCACGTAAGTACAAGGCTATCTATGAGGCATGAAGAATTTTGTTTCAGGATACTGTATGGCTGATTTTTCTATTTGCTTCTGCTGTCTCCATGGTGTGAGCCGGTCGAGGAGAAAAAGGAGACAACAGAGAATGTGCCGTTCCCTCAATCGTCTGAGAGGGATATTTAACAGGAAGGGAGTATGAAAGAGGAGATGTGTGAGACACAGGATAAGATGAAAGGGTTAAAGGTGGGAGAAAAAGAGGAGGAGTCAGGCAAGGGGATTCGGAATGAGGTGGACATTTTGAAGAGGAGGGGAAAATCAGGAGAGACACAAAAATTAGTGATTATTGAGGATGAATAGTTAGAAGGAGAGAATGAGCCTAAAGTATTCAAAATTCCTAAAAAGGTGTTAGAGAAAGAGGATTGAGTTTGAGAAGTGAGCGCGGGCAATAACGAAGGGATTAAACCGATTATAGATGGCTTATATCCTGAGGAATGGACAGTACTCGTCTACCTGTGGGGTCGGAGACCAGTAAAGAAGGTGATATGACTAAAACTTCTGTTACAAGGAGAGAAACCCCCGGAGGGTGAGTGTACATGACACCCTTGCTGCAGGACTATTTGTGTGATCCGGAGTGGGTGTCAGAGGATGCTAACTGATCAAGAATGCTTTGGGCAGACTTACCATTAAGAGGAGAGTCATTGGAAAAACCATTACCTATGTTATGGGACAGTTTACCTGAGAATTTGCCTCTTAATACTATTACCATCCATAATTAGACCTGGTCAGTTTTCTAAAAGCAATTTATCAGTAAGAATTGGTTTCTTCATATATTTAGTTTTTAACTAGGAAAAAGCAATTAATATACTGTCTGTATGGTTTTGTCATAATTCATTTTTAATATCTGATTTTTCAGCATTGCTAATGATTCCCATTTTGCCTGATACCGCCATTTACTAGCTCACTGCTGAAGATTGGCAAGTTCTGTCATTTCCTGCATGCAAGTGAAATGAGTCTGCCCCTTGAAGAAAAAAGGTGGAGAACGATGTTTTCCACCATTCTGTGGCACTAAATCTCCCCAGCTGTACAAATGAGAGAAAATCTGGCTGTTTAGCTACATAGACAATTCAGTACTACACAGAGTGTTCAAACATGTTTGAGTTTAAATTAATGTCTGTGTCATTAGCTTCCCTGAAGAGGATTTAAAATGAACTTTATTTACCAACTACTGGTTGAAGGGATAAGACGTGACACACCAGATGTGCTGTGCTGAGAATATAAACCACTTTAGCACAGAAACAATAACAACTATTTGAAACATGTCTGAAGCTCTGGACTCACATGCATGTTATTCTGATCAGGTAAAGCTGTGGTTAAACCTTAGTCAAAACTGTGCTCACAACCTGGGGTTCAATCCCAGGTAGCCAGCTCAGGGTTGACTCAGCCTTCTTATCCTTTTGAGGTCGGTCAAATGAGTACCCAGCTAGCTGGGGAGGCAATGTGTAGCCTGCATAATTAACTTGTAAACCACCCAGAGAGTGTTTAAGTGCAACAGGGCAGTCTGTAAGCAGCACGCTTTTTGGCTTTGCTTTAAACCGGTGGTTCAAGAGGGATCCCTCCATAGGTTAACATGGATAAGTGCACACAAAGAGATATTTTTGCATATTCAGCCCAACCCAGCAATGTAGTACTTTGACCTCCAGTCTTTAGAGGCTGAAAAATATCAGCCTATGGAAATAGTAGGCCATTTTTCCTTTATTATTTATTTTGTAACTACTTCTGTTTCAGCTATTTCAACAGCTATTTCAATCATAACGGAGTGGGAAGCCATTAATAGTGAAAAATCACTGATGGAGTGCCACTGATAATCCTGATTCCATTCTTGGCAATTTGATGGTTTATGGGTGCATTTGAACTTGTTTATGAGTAATTTTGTGTAAAAGGCCAGATTACTCATAGACGTATTTGAACTTGCTTATCAGTTCAAATGTAGGTTGCAGAGAAATCATGAAATGTCATAGAAATCGCAAAGGCTTTCATGGCCAGGATCTAATGGTTGTTGTGGGTTTTTCGGGCTCTTTGGCCGTGTTCTGAAGGTTGTTCTTCCTAATGTTTCGCCAGTCTCTGTTGTCAGCATCTTCAGAGGACAGCACTCTGTGCTCTGAAAATGCCGGCCACAGAGACTGGCAAAACGTTAGGAAGAACAACCTTCAGAACACGGCCAAAGAGCCCGAAAAACCCACAACAACCATCATAGAAATCCTCCCCCTACTCATGAGCTATGTTCCTTGAGCCATCTGTAATACAGTGAAGTCCCTTCATTTTAAGCTCTCTGGTCCTCTACAATTCTTACACATCTTATGGTGTGCAGTTTTTACATCTCTGGTAGAGTTGCCATATCCCACTTCTGCATACCCAGGCACCCTAAACTGCAAATTATACATGTTTTGCATGTTTGAAAGAACATCAGTGGTTGGAATCCCCCACCAACACTATTTTCATCCTTGGAACCATTTAAATAGTACACATTGATCTGAGACAGACAGTATCCTGTAATGGTTAAAAACATTAGACTTTGAATTGCAACTCCGTGCATCCTTCTTCCCTTGCTGGCTAGGGCTGCTGAAGTTGTAGGTCCAAAATATGCAGAATGTCAACAGTTACTTGCCCCCAACCTAGAGACTGTCTTTCATACCTGTCCCAAAGCAGTAGGATATAGAGTGTGGTCCCTGGTGCTGGTTTTAAAGTTCTGGCAGATGCACATGAAAGATGGCTCTTAAATTCAGTATAGCTTTTAAAATACAGATAACCTTTCTAAAGAAATCTTCATAATGATCTGTTCTTATATCAACACAGCTGGATTACTTGGTTGCTTTTAAGTGGAAAACCTCAGCAATTTGTTCTGCCTACCAGCTGGTGGCCAGATATTACAGCATCCTTAACCAATTAGTAAAATGTCCCATAGAAGGACTATGCTTACTGTGTGTTCCACCTGCAAAGTACCACATCTGAGAGCTAATGGAGATCAGTGTAACTGAAACTCTCCAATAAATTAGCCGCCACCCACCTAAATCTTTTTTTAACCAGTAACAACTATTCCATTTATTTTCCTCTCTCATCAGTGTGTCTGTCACTATTTTCCTGTTATGCACAATGAACTGCAGTGCAGAAGTATGGACGGTCCAGGAACATGAAACACTCATTTACCTCATATGCGGGTTCCCTGGGCTTCCTTCTTCACCCTTGGTTATGCTGACTAGGACCATAGAAGCTACAGACCTCAAACAAATTGAGTGCCACCTTTGTTTGCCCCCAACCTAGATACTGCCATAGAAACAGCACTGACTCTGATACATGCCCTAAAGCAGTAGAGGGTAGGGTAGAGTAGGGTCGCTGGTGCTAATTTTAATGGTTTTGCAGAGCTGAAATAATTTTATGTAGCTCAACTTTTCAGAAATATAAATCTTGGGAGTACAAAGGAAGAAATTGGCAGGAGTTTGGAAATATTCTGCAGACTAGTAGACTTGTAGCTGAGAAGTGTGAATCTCCTTGACTGTAATATATATGTAACAAGTAGGTACAACTTGGTCTTTCTTTGCTGGAAACACTCATAAGCATTTTATTTGACCAGTATAGACAGATAAAAATTTAATTTTCATTCAATTCTGAATTTACAAGAATTTTCAAATCACATATTCAGGATGGAAAGAATTTGAGGTTTTAAAAAAAATCAAACACAGGATAAAATGAAACTCCCAGGGGGTTCCCATTCCTATTTCCAGTGCTTCATAAGGAAAACAATCAGAATCATTTTATTTATATTTAGTTTTCGTGAAAAATTACATTATGAGCTCCTCACCTCACCCCCAATTTATCAGAGAGCAACATTTGGCTCTGGATTAAATACCTGACAATCAATTATAGACAGTTCTTCGAAAAGCTACAACCAGAACCTTTCACAACATCACAATTGTATCCTTACATGGATACAATTGTGGCTTTGTCATAACAAATTTGCAAAGTAGCCAACCTTTTCTACCCCGTGAAATACCAGATTCATTGCCCAGGTTGGTGAGTTTATTCTCTCTCTCTCTCTCTCTCTCTCTCTCACACACACACACACACACACACACACACACACACCACGCACGCACACAAACACACACACAATTAAAGGTGGCAGATTTCCACATACAAATTTGGAAGTGTGTGTGATTCCCCCACCCCCAAATAAATACATTTCATGCCATAGTAAAATATTTATACTGTACACAAATGCCAACTTCTGGAAGTCCATGTCAGCATTTTGGAAGACAGAATATGAAATGCTCATCAATGTTCAGCTATCCTATTTTTCCCAACATGTTTTTATGTAAAACAATGTACAAGCATAGTGAGAATTCTTTACTCCCTAAATCAGCTTTATATGGCATATCATGCAGAAACACCTGGAGTTTTGACAAGGCTAATGTTAAGCTTAGCTCTTAACTTAACCTGTCCCATTAAAAAAGATATAGTAGGATGTTTTCAGTCCTGAAGTGCATAGTGACTTAGAGAAGCAAGAAGAATTTTCAAGTTGTAAATGTGCCCCTCTTCACTTGTACTCATTAAAAAATATTCCCTGGCACCTAACAGCTCTTGGCATTCCAGTTAACTAATTTTCAGAAGAGGAAGGAAAGCCATGACGAATCTCTGTGTTAAATATAACTTGAATACAGCAAACTACAGTATATGAATAGAAATAAATACTTAGAATAGTGAAATTTATGCTATACAGCAAGAGATAAAGAGCTTTGTCCCTATTGTTCCCTGGGTTAATTAATGGAAAACACACTCAGTGTTTGACACTTCTAATCCAGAGTTTATGCCCAGCCTTGGCTGGAAAAGGAGCCAAAATAAAAATATTGCCACTTTCCCATTGCTAATATATCACTAGATATGTGTACAGGATAAACTTCATTTTGGGTTCTTTCAGGGGGTACCTCAATTGTCCGGGGTGTCTTTGGTTTACTAGTCCTTTCATCAGACATGAAAAGGGACAGCTCTTTCGGGTTCTCCCATTTTGTTTTTCTCATTAATGTTCTGACTGGCAGCCATCCAATAGCCCTAAAAAGCCCTTAAAATACTTCAAAAAAGCATTATACTAACACAGGCAGGCAATAGAAAAACAATTCAAAAACACTAAAGAACCTTTTTTTTAAAAAGCAGGGGAAAGATGGGCAATCCACAGTAAATTAACCCAATAACACATTTTTTTTTAAAAAAAATCAGTCTTACAAGAAAAACACCCGCGTACTCATATGGACAAACAGTAGAAAAGGCAATATCTGAACCCATGGTGCTCATTTTTTTTTCTGTAAAGAAGCCACAAACTCACACAAGCAACAAACCAAGTTTCTAGCTTCAAATGTGACAATAGCCAATCTGCTACTGGCTAAATTTCCCAGTTGTACAAAAAGAGGAGCACCGTGCAAGCAAATGAGCCCACTTGGGCATGTAGTGTCAAAAACAGAATGAAAGGGTTGCAAAGAAAAATGCCAAGCTAAAGAACAACATTGTACCACTTTATACAATGATGCATATACTTTATACTTTTCTTCTAGTGCATTATGTAGTGCTCCTGCTGTCTGCTTACGGTATACTATAGCACATAAGCTTGTGGTTTTCATCTATGAGTGCTCATAATGAAACAAATTTGTAAGTTTTGAAACTGCCACAGTACTTTATTCTTGCTCCTCCCCTTTAATTTTGCCAGTATGCTGAGACAAACTAATATAGAAAAATGAAGTTCGACGGGGTCTACAAGGCCATCATGTTCAACCCCCTGCTCAATGCAGGAATACATATACAGTATAGTGATTTCTCAGGAGGCTTGTGGTTCATTTCAGAAATATGGAAGACAATTATAGATTTTGTCCAAACTCAAATTTTCATCAGTCACCCTCTGCTAAGGCCACTGGTGGCAGATCAGAAGTATCAACTTCTGTTTTTAGAACAACTGGAATTCCATTATGTCCTAATTCAGGAAGTACTGAATGGTTCAAACTAGTATCATAAACCATGGTTTGACTTGACTTGTTTGATTTTTTTTATGCAGTGGAGAACTGCATTTCATTTGAAGCCAAAAATAAAGCTTTCAAATGCCTCTGCACAGACTCACTAAAACCTCGTAGCCGTCTATGCACGAGGCAGTCTATACTTTTAAAAAACAGCCCAACAGTGAGTTATTGTCAGAAACTGTTTGAAACTCTTTTAAGCTCTATGGCAGAGAAAAGGTCAGGAAAAGTCAGGTATGATGGCAGAAATGATGGGCAGTCTTTTAAAATTTGTAAACAAAGGAAGTCCAACTATGTTACATTGACTTTTGGAAAAAACATAAGAGGTAAATGAGAAAAACTCACCAGTTTTTCATGTGGCATACAACTGGCTCAGCATCTAAGTAGGGGATGCATTTCAGCTTCAGTAAAGAACTGTATAGAGACAAGTTAAACCAGTCACCAACCATTTTGGCTAACATGACAGCGAGCATGATAAGCAGCAAAGACTGGACATCGTTTGTGATCTCAACCTAAAATAAGAGAGCAATGAGAGCACTTGTTACTAAAAACAATTATATGAGCAGGCATTGTGTTTAGAACTCCAATGACAACATTATCATTTTTTTTAAAATTGCTTTTAAACTACATTGGGCATTTAAGCTGGACTCTTCTGTGATTTTAGATATTGTGTTTTTAAGTGAAAATTTTCAAATGTTTTCAGATGACTTTTTTTATACTATTCTATCTTTGTTTTTAATTTTATAGCTTGTCAGCCTTTTAACTTTAGTTATATTTTAATTTTTGTGACCTGCCTCATGTCCCTTTATGGAAGAAAGGCTGCATAAAAATATAAATCAGTCATGGTAACAAGCTCTAGTAGGACTCAATGTTTTTTAAAGGGCACAGTCTTTTGAAAATGATACAAAGGAAAATGCCTTTTACTAGGTCAAATGGGTGATGCTTTTAACTCAGTATCGTCTGGTTAAGAGCAGAAATCCAGTACATGAGTAATGCAATATGTATAAGCACTTAACCTGCAAAGGGGTTTATGACACAAAGAGATAAAAGCAAAGTGTAAAGAAATCACTTGGCAGTTTTATTTCAACAATCACTTAAGGAAAAGGTGCCCATCAGTGCCCATAGCCCATGAAGCTCTCAAGAGGTTTCCTTCAGACCTTGCCAGCGTGACACTAAGCTTCAGTTGCAGTGCGATGCTCTTCTCCACAGGTGCTATACAGCATGGTCACAAGCAAGGTGCAATGCAGGGTGGATGATTCACCAGAAATGTCATAGCCACCATAAAATATGCTCATGGTTGTGATAAGAAAAAACTAGGGGAAACTGTGGAGCTTTTTACTTGGCCCAATCTAACTCAGATGAAAGCAGGCAGCTTGTTGTTCTTTGGTCTTCTCTCTCCAAGATGATCACCTCCAGGACCCAGACAGGCCTGGCATCACCACAAGAAACAACAATCCCAAAGGAACTCAACTGAAGCCAAAACCAACAATTATGATGAGGACACAACAGTGTTTTTTAAATGAGCAAATGAAAGACATTTACCCATGATGTGGAAAAACTGTAACATGAACGAAAGAAAAAACACCAGCTTTCTGAGTGACAAACAGGAGACGACTAATCAGGTTAATTCTTTCCTTCTATCCTATTATCCTGATTGAAATCAGGTGTCCAAAAGCTTCTGTTTGCCCAGACTGGGAGAAATGTACAGGTACTCATGTGATATCTGTATGTTTCTCATTATGGGACTAAAAGATTCAGAGGAGTTGACTTTAATTTGAAAAACAGCACAAGGGAAAAGAATGAATCAAATGTCATTTGTTATCCTAATCCAAATCAGGGATAGGCCCACGTGCTTTTATCTTGGAAGATCCTAGTCACAGATTGCTCTTCTCCAACCTAGTTTGGCTTCAAATACTGTACGCCATAGTAATTCCATGAAAAGACCCTCTCAACTATCATAAAGCATCACCTCCTTGGGTGAAAGACCTGTTATTTGGTTATATTATAAACTGTTATGCACATTAATGAGACTATATAAACAATAATAGGTCAAGTACAGTTCCAGAGCGTAACTTCAATCACAATAACCCCATCAGATGGAGTTTTTGCATCCAGTTTTTCAGGTCACAATTCAGGGTTTGACAGTTGGGAAAACACAGTTTCCCAAAACAGGATTGGACTTCAGAACTGTGCTTACTCTCTAAACCAATCATCCAAAACCAGACACCCACAGCACTTCCTTTTTGGAAGGGGATGCTTGTTATGGCAAAATGTGGCACCTTCACCTAGCCTTATACTTTCTATTTAACAGGTTATGCATGTAATCGAAATCTGGTACTGTTGAATGCCAGGTCTGTATCCAACAAATCCCAGATTATCCAAGATCTTATACTGGAGAAGGATACTGACCTGGCATGCATAAGCGAAATTTGACTCTTGCCTGTCCTCTCAGTTATGCAGTCCAGCACCAGGGTAGACTGGAAGGGTGGGGGGAGTAGCCATTGTTTATAGAAACACTTTGGAAGTTGTTGGGTGCTCTACGGTGGTGAAGCCATGTCTGGAGGCCCTCCATGTGTCGATTGGGGCCAGGGGTGGTATTGGGATCTTGCTGGGTTACCGTGCTCTCTGCGACCCAGCCATTTCCTTACTGGAACTGGCGGACTTTGCCATGACTAAGGTGAGGGCTGCCAGTCGAGCTCACTTCACTGTTCGGATAAGCGAAGCTTCAAATCAGCAGGCAGGACTTTTCCGTATTGTTCATGATCTATCCAGAATTGGTCTAAGTGATGGGTCTCCTACTAGTATTTCACCTGATCAATTTGCATAATTTCTAAAATCTAAAGTGGAGGCCATCCACCAGGAGCTCTCTCCTTTTTTGAACACAGTAGATCAAGCAGAAATGTCCAGAACTCCACCTTGCCCAATTAGACTTGATCTCTTTCAGCTTGTGATGTCAGATATGATGGACAAAGCAGAAATGTCCAGCACTCCACCTTGCCCAATTAGACTTTATCTCTTTCAGCCTGTGATGCCAGATATGGTGGACAAAGCGTTTGATCGCTGTCGTGTCACCACTCCTCCCTTGACCCTTGCCCAGCCTTGCTAATCAAAGTAGCCAGACCTGTAACAACCAAATGGGGCATGGCAATAATGAATGTGTATATCCAATAATTAATGGGTTTCTTAAAGAGACACTCATTAGGCCCATAAGGAAGAAACCAAGTTTGGCGGTGGACAACACTGGCAATTATAGGCCTGTCGCCAATGTTTCTTTCCTCAGCAAAGTGGTAGAGAGGGTGATGGCTGACCAGCTCGAGGTCCTTTTGAATGAAACCAATGCCCTGGATCCATTCCAGTAGGGCTTCAGGCCGTGCCACAGTACAGAAATGGCATTGGTCACACTGTTTGATGACTTGCTGAGGGAGGCCGACAGGGGCAAAATGACTTTGTTGGTCCTCCTCGATATCTCAACTGCCTTTGATACCATCAACCATGGTATCCTCTTGGAGAGGCTCTCCAAGCTAGGAATTGGTGGTCTGCTGCTTGCCTGGCTTCAATCCTTCTTGAAGGACTGTCCTCATAGAGTACAGCTTGGGGAGTGTGTTTTGGCCCTGTGGAATCTCAATTATGGGGTTCTACAGGGATCGATTATCTCCCCAAAGCTGTTCAGTATCTATATGAGGCCACTGGGTGGGATCATCAGGGGGTGTGGGGCTTCGTGCAATCAGTATGCTGATGACAACCAGCTGTACATCTCCTTTTCTCCAACCACAGTGGATGCTGTTCCATCCCTTCAGCGCTGCCTGGAGGCTGTACTGCAATGGATGCAGGAGAATGGACTGAGGCTGAACCCAGACAAGACAGAGGTCCTGAGGGTGGGTGGCCCCGCCATCAGTGGTTTGGGAAACGCGTTCTCTTTTGGGGGAGTTACTCTCGCGGAGAAGAGTGAGGTTTGCAGCTTGGGGGGGGTCGATCTGGATCCGACACACACCATGGAAACCTAGATAGCATCAGTGGTCTGATCTACCTATTTCCATCTGTGGCGGATTGCCAGCTGCATCCCTATCTTGATGTTGGGGCACTCACCACTCTGGTTCATGCACTTGTAGTCCCGAGATTAGACTACTGTAACCCACTCTAGGTGGTGCTACCTTTGAGATTGATGCGGAAGCTTCAAATGGCGCAGAATGCGGCGGCCAGATTACTTAGTGGAACAAGAAAACACCAGCATATCTCTCCCACTCTGGCTGCCTTGCACTGGCTACCCATTCATTTCCGCATTGATTTCAGTGTTAATTATGACATATAAAGCCCTAAATGGTTTAGGACCTCGATATCTAGCAGAATGCCTTCTCCCACCTAGGTCTACCTGAAATATCACTTATAGGCAGATGTATAAATCCTAAGCTGGAACTCTTGTTTTGCATTGTTTCACACACAATTGTATGCTTCAGAGGCTTTTCAAAACAAAAAAACTTACATTTTAGTTACTCACATAACTGTTCTGCAAATTCTATACGTCCCAAGATTCCACCTCATTATAACCACTTGGCTGTTTTCCTATTATTTTGGTTTTATTACATAAAACATACTTATGTATTTCATTAAGAGCATAAACAGGGCATGGCACATCAAAGTAACGAGGGCAGCTGCCCAGGAAACACAAAAGATGCAGTTTATATAAAACTACTGATAAAAAGCCCTAGCCCTTGTTCTCAGCCATACTGTGGTTAACCTGTTTCATGGTTTGGCTTTTGGTTTTGAAAATTTAGTCCAAATGGAACCTCATTAGAGCTGGACCTGCTGATGCAGCAGACTTTTGCTGAGGATCTTTTTTTATTTGAATTCATAGCAGGGGGATCCAGTTAAAAGTGAAGTCATATGGTGTAAGCATATTTGTACGCTATAACAGAGAAGGCAAAAGCGGCATCATTTCTATTTATTTTCATAAAAAGGCAAATGAGTGTGGTATACATGAGTGCTTCCCAAGACATGATAGCCACTTGCCTCATTTAGCAGACTGTCCCTTTACATAACTTTAAAATGATACCTATATCATATAGGCAGCCTATAAATGAGACAAAATAAATTATGTAAATCAAATAGCTGAACATGTGATTGTCTAAACAGGTTTTACAACAAAGTGTCCTGTCACCTTAAAGACTACCAAGTTTCATTTAGCACAGGCTTTGGTGGACTTCAGCCATGAGATACATGAAGTATATCTAGAATTTCAGGATGCCTGGATATATATTTAGAATAAATTCAGCACCTGTGGTTTGGGGGTAGAGTGGAGTATTAACTCGCCAGGTGACCTTAAAAGTCATCATTCTCTCAGCATAACCTACTCCACAGAATTGTTGTTTGGACCAACGGAAGGACAGCAGAATAAGGTATATTACCCTTAACTGACTGGGGAAAACACATGATATATAATAAATAAACAAACTGTGAACACTTAGACAAATTAAATGCAGCAACATTTATGTAACATCAGTCAGGAATCACCACAATGCAAGTGCTTCAGAAATATATGTCTCTTAAGATGTAAGCTTAGACAGGGGCCAGATGAGGTCTACCATGTAATGCCATGTGGCCCAGAGATCAGTCTAGCTTGTGAGGGCGACACCACCCAATGATGGTGAATGCCAACCATGCTTTGAATTCGGTTTTATTTCCTTGCGCTGAAACCTTGGATTTTTTTCTGGAAATTGTCACTGACTTTAGGAATACAATAATGATAATAAATAACTTCCCAAGGTCTGGTTTTCAGCATGGGCTCAACTGTCAATACAGAAGAGGTAAGCAGCCAAGAGTGAAGAGGTGGGCAGAAGCCTGTGGAGTCCTGCTATTGCTACAAAAGCATTTTGCAAACCTGCTCACTACCACTGTGTAACTCTTTCCAAATGGAAGACGGTACAAAGCCAAAGCAAACATTCCAAAATTATTTGGGAACCTTTCAGGCTATATCAGAAAAACGTGTGCATTCAAGGCCACAACCTTTTAATTATGCTATTATATTGTCACATCCAAATCCTTCCCTCCACCCCTTCTCCTTCTCACAAACTAATCTTTCCTCAAATGATGCTACTATTTACTTTGGAGGGATTTGAGCTGAAGCTCACTTTCCAAGTTTGAAAAAAATAAAAGGGGGTGGGGAGAAAATGATCACAAGAATCATAACCTGCCACCTAGGGGAATTGGGAGTGCCTTGCAGGGCAACTGTGTGTTCTCCAGCCTCTTCAGATGTTTATTATGCTGCCGTCATTCTCTGCATGTTATAGAGTTCTGGAGAAGTTGTACTGTTTTTGACCTTTCTATTACAAGCAAATTCTGCTGAACACAGTTTTCCATACTGGAAAATGTTCAGGAAAGGGACCCCTCCCCCGATACCGTATTTTACTGTAACCAAAAGTGAGGCTGAGATGAAGTCTTAAGTTGTCTCAAACCACACAGATGCCCCCCCCTTTTTTAAAAAAAAATCATTACCTTTGTACAAATCCAGTAAGTCATGCTTGCATTCTGTTTCAAGACAGAAACTTCCAAAGGTCAGAGCTGTGGAGAAAGGCAGTCTGCTACCAAAAAGATGATGTCTTTCACAAAGTGGGGAAATAATGTACTGTATATCCAAACCCAATAATTTTCCCTGATGTGATTTTTCAAAAAGTATATATGTATTTGAACTGATTTCTGGTGTCAAGACAAGGTCTAAGCCCGCACCCAAATCCTGTTAATGTGGCAAGTGGCCCTGAAAACAGTGAAAAGACTGACTGTCCAGGAACCAGGTCACTGCTCTGACCAAGTCAGTAAATTATGCTATTATAGCATTACATGGTAGATCTCTAGCATTACCCACTTGCCACCTCTCTGGAAGTTCCCTACAAATTATTTCCCAGAATTTATCTTCTTTACAGAAATTAATGGTGGGTACTGCACTATTTTTTTGTTTAGCAAACTTATCATGGCTACTCTTCACTGATGCTTCAGTTCTACCTCTTTATCCAGCCACACTGGAGCCTCTACAAATGCTTTTACTCAAAGGTAACACTTTGAATTGTGTCCATAAACAGAGCAGTAGCTAATTAAGGTGCTGTAACAAGGATTTTCTGTTCTCCCCATAAGCAGCTCTATTTAGGAGTCTAACCACAGCATCCTAGACAAACTCAAGTTTTCAAACACGTTCCAAAGGCAGTTTCACATATAGCATGTTACACTAATCTGAATGGGATACAACTAAAGCATCACCATGGCCAGATCAAACAGCAATTGTTCTCTACAGAACAAGACAAGAAGATAAGACAATTACATATACTGTATATATATGATGATCCTAAGAGCCCTACATAACCAGGATCTTACAGCACAAGTGCCTGCAGAGCATGCTGCTCTTTACAGACAAGCTCACCACATGTGGATGGATGTCAAGCACCAACTTATCCACTTGCTGATCATGTGAGGGGGAAACACTGAAACAGGCCTAATAAATCTCTCTCGATATATATGCCAAGGATTTTGGCAAGGCTCAAACTTTCTTGTTGTTTACCAGGGTTCCTTGACCAAGGGCACACTGCTGGTGACTTCAGACATGCACTCAGTTTAGCATTCAGGAGGCACAACATTACATACTCTTCTAACCTATCTGGTAAATTAATTTATTAATTTATTTCATTGATTTCTATATCACCCCATTGGTGCAAGGCACTATTCTGGATGGTTCACAAAACAGATAAAATCAGGGGGGAAACCCAGTTAATCAAATCATAAGAGTAATAAAATAAAAACAAAATGTATCAGTTAAAACATCACAGAGCCAAGACAGTGGAAACTTTACCCCTCATGGGTGGGGCAGGGCAAGTGGCAAATTCATATGAGGTTGCTGTCAAAAGCCTCAATGAAGAGGCATCCTAAACAACCTCTTGAAGGTAGGCAGGGAGGTGGCCAGGCACAGCTCAACCACGGGGCTGGTTCCATGGGGCTAGTGCCACAGCTGAGAAGGACTGACTTCTAGTGGATGTTTTCCTGGTCTCCTTTAGTGTGGCTACCCAGAAGAGCATGGCTTGGGAGGATCTGGTGACATGGATAGATGATTTGGAGGGGAAATACTCCTACAAGTAATGGGGTCCCAAACTGTGAAGGGTGAACACCAAAACCGTGAACTCTGTCTGGGGCATCACAGGTAACCAGTACAAGGTGAGCCAAGATTGGGGAGAGGTGGTCAAATTTGCGTACACTACAAATAGCCTGGTGGTCGCATTATAATATTTTATAATTTTATGGTATTTGGTCATTAAACTGCTCCCGTTATAAGTCATCTTATACGAACCATTATAACAGTAAGGGAGATGGTGAGCCTTGAGACACCACTAAAGAAGGAAGCCGCTCCAATTGCAGCAAACAGTCCTGGATCCATCCATGCTCCACTTTCATCTGTTCGAACCCCAAAAATGGAAATCAATATCAAACCAACAATCCTGCCATATAATGCTCCTATATATCTGCAAAGGAGAAGAAGACAGTGATGACATTTTCCTAGTCAATTATAAGAGTGTATTTTTCTCTTGGTACTCTTACTGTGCAAGAATAGATCCAATGTTCATACTGTAAGAAGTGCCATCCTAGCTGTATACAAGAATGTCATACACCCATGCAACTAGAATCCTATTAGCCTTCCCATATCCTTTCTACTCTTTCTCCTCAGCCCTCCATATGCTGGGCAATGGGTATCTACAGCGGGGAGTTGGCTGTATTTGTTATGTCTTCCATGTAGCTTTTGTTGTGTTTCATCAAACAACTCCAGGAGGCAGTGGAACACAGGAGGGCCTGGCATGCTCTGGTCCATGAGGTCAGGAAGATTCAGACACAACTTAATGACTAAACCACAACAACATCAAACAACTTATAGTGACCCTAATAGTCACTATATTCAAAGTAAGTGAAATATTTAAGGAGTGGTTTTACCAGTTCAATGCCCCCATTGAGTTTCATGGATGAGCATGGATTCAAACCCAGGCCTCCTGAATCCTAGTCCATCACTTTATCCACTACACTACACTGGGTATCACTCCATGCAATTTAGAACCCTAGAATCACTGACTTCCACATTGCAACATGAGTTTTTATGGCTCCTGTCACGCACCCCCAGTGACCCCTGTATGTTTTCCCACTCACAGAGGTTCACCTTTGGACATGACTTGTCCTTTTTCCCTTTTTCGCTGCCACCAGAGGATATTATCCTCACTATATCAATTATGAATCTCACACTCTTGCTGCCAAATAAAACAAGGTTTATTCATGGAGTATTAAGTAAATCACAGAAGGAAAATCATGGATGTTCTATTATCATTTATTCATTAAACGTGGATTTGATTATTTATAAGCTTGCTTGTACTCATTTACTTTAATCAAGATCTCAATATTTTCTGAATGTCAATGTACTTCTAATTCCTTTTAACTCTTTAATATTCTCTAACTAACCAACTGTCCAATATCTACGTAGTCTAAAGCACAGTCTTCTCTCTTACTGTCCAAATGTCTTCACCATCTTTTTCCTAACTCTCTCTCTGGTTCTCTGGTACAAAAGGATTATATTCATTGCTTTGTATTCATTGGCGTCTCTGGACCCCAAAGAATATGAAGCAAAAAATATCTGATGAATATCCGGGTATTACCTACTCCTGGTATTATCTGGTTCTCTCCCAGCCAAGGGCCAGTCAGGTTGCAATTTAGCCTCCAAATCAGACAACAGCAAAGTGTTCAACATTAAATTGTGTGGTACAAGATTAGTTGTCCCACCAATTCTTGCCCCCTCATGTTATACTGACTTGGGGCAGAGAGCACTTTTGAATACAGCTTTTGCTTCAACACCTAGTGGGCAATTTTTTTCTGAGACTGCATGCCAACTTTGCTTTAGATAACAACTTTAGTTGTTTGCCATGTCTCTACTTGTTTGCCACTAATATTAAATGAAATCCAGGAAATGTGCATATTAGCACTCAAAAGGGAAGCATACAGGCTCCAAAATTATTTCAAATTATCCTAACACACGTTCATTTAATGGTCTGTTAGGAACTACATTGCTAATTTCACATTGGCATTACCTGAGAGGTGCTAGAGCCATACAGACACCACATTTTTCACAGCATTTAAAACTGGATGCATTAAACAAAGGACAAAATATATTTCCTGAGATACACAATGCCCTAGGAAAATATGGAACCGTCATAGTAGATGCAATATCTTGAAAAAGAGATCTACAGTTTCTACATGACAAATTAGTAAAAATAAAAAGCTGCACATTTGGGCCTTGAAGAAATGAATACCTGAGAAAGCAAACTGGTCACTATGATAAAGAGTTGGTGTGGTGTCTCTCCACCAATGGAAAGGCATCCATTACTGCAACCCTCCATTGCCTCAAGCCTTCTAGCTGAAGCTGATTTGGGCATGCAGGAACCTGGTAGCAATTCTGCTCACATCATTTCCCCCCTGCTTCTGGCATGTGTGATCACTTATACCTGTCCAAAATGACAGTGCCAGGTGGATACTAGGGTGATGTTGACAGTGGGGCATGTGAAAAAATATTGGCAAGTGATATAGCATTAAATTGATATACAGTAACAACTTGTGAAACTGCATTGCTTATCTGACATGTCAGTATATTTTAAAAAGCATAATAAAAATTGTTTGGAGTAGAGTCAAGAGGTATGTGCTTGAACGGGATGTTCCCACAGTACTGGCATACTGCACAAGGTTATGCCAGCACAACTGGAATGTACCCCTCAAGTGAGTGTCCCCTGTCTCTCTTCTGAACAACTTATGATTATGATGCTTTTCCAGGATAGTAGTATGTCAGATCAATCTCCAGTTTCACAAGTTGTATATCATTTCAGGGCTATGCCACTTGCAATAAATTAATGAGAGAGAGAGAGAGAGAGAAGTGCAGTGTTCATAACAGAGGAGGATCGCAACTTGTGATCCTAATGATAATTTGAAGTGTGCTGGGGATTCTTGCTCCAAATGTTACCTGGGATAATTACACATTCAGTGTGAATGACTACAGTGATTTAACTGCCATAGGAAACTCTGAATTAACCCAAATCAAATTGGAACAGCAATGAGAGAGAGAGAGAGAGAGAAGTGCAGTGTTCATAACAGAGGAGGATCGCAACTTGTGATCCTAATGATAATTTGAAGTGTGCTGGGGATTCTTGCTCCAAATGTTACCTGGGATAATTACACATTCAGTGTGAATGACTACAGTGATTTAACTGCCATAGGAAACTTTGAATTAACCCAAATCAAATTGGAACAGCGTTCCTTATCTAGTCACACCCCATACTCGGGGACGTTGCCATTCCTGTCTTGTAAGCATTAATTTTTCTTGGTTTAAGAAATAGATTGCATAAGTGTTTCACTATCAATATATCTAGTAGACAATTTGTAGTTGTTACTAATTGTAAGTAACATGAAGAGCTGCATGTATTAAATATGGTGCAAGTGTAGTGTACTTAAATTCTATCACCAGACACTGGTTCATAACAGAGGAAACTGCATCTCTGAGCTAGGATAAAATGGAGTACTTACAGCATGGGTATAACCAAACCACTCGCAACAGCAGAGCCTGCAGTCAAGCAGGACAGCAAGAAGTAGAATATCAATGCTACAAAAAGAGAGGCATAGCCAAACTCCTCATGAGTCCCACGTTTGAATAAGTATGTGATACTTCTCATACCATTCTCAGCCAAAAGAGCAGCAGCTTTAAATGAGATAAGGATGGGAGAAAAGAACAAAATAGAAGATTTAAACCTTTTCGCCGTCTTTCTCTCTCTTCTATTTCTATGTTGATTTTTTTTATCATCTAGAGAAGAGAAAATTAAGAGGTGATATGACAGCTGCACTCAAATATCTGAAGGCTATCATGTGGAAGATGGAGCAATCTGGTGTTTTCCGGCTCCAGAGGGTAGGACTTCAAGTAATGTATCCAAATTATATGAGATAAAATGTCAACTAACGATTATGATACACTTCCTGACAGTAAGAGCTGTTTCACAGTGGAACAGGCTGCCTCCAGAGGTCATGGATGGTCCTTCTTTGGAGTTTTTTCAGTCTAGGTTGGATGGCCACCTGTCAGGATCCATCTCAACAATTTGGTAAATTTGTTACCTGCTGGTTTTTGGCATTGCTGTTACCTGTCATTCTTTTATATGCAAAACAACTGGATACAAATATTGGCCCAAATTCCAAAAAAAAATACTGATTTCAGAATAAAGAGTAGATATTGCTCATCACACCAAAAATTTAACAGTGTTGCCCATATTTCCATTATTTCCAAAAGCTGAAGTCTTTTTGCTCTTAAAACCCTATAAAATGTAATCACTGGCCAGAATCCTATTGGGATTTTTCTCCTAAGGAAAATTGCATAAGTTGTGGCAGCAAATTATAGCTAATTAATAAAGTGATGGCTGTGTTCCTGGCCACATGCATAATTTCACAGTGAACACAAGTAAGAATCCAGTACATTATAGGTAATATATTACTTTCAAGCTCTGCTTCAGATAGACAAGTCTATTTTTTCCAGCCCTTTTGTTTATGTACCCTACGTGTCATGATATTCAAACAAACTTTTAAATAAGAACATATTAACATAGAAGGTTGAGCAGTGGAAGCACATGGCAGTTAGAAAACACTTCTGTTTTTGAACTCAGAAAATTTGCTTGCATTGTGGTATATACACAGATATTTCCAAGGAATCGTTTTCAAAACTGGACAATTGATCAAAAACACCTTGAAAAGCATACCATTACTTTACAAAATGTTCTGTTGTTCTATGCCATCAAATTGAAACCAATTTATAGCAAACCTAATAGGGCTTTCAAGGTAAGTAAGATATTTAAGGAATGATTTTACCAGTTCCACATCTGCAGTGAATTTCCATGACTGAGTGAAGATTTGAACCCAGGCCTCCTGAGTCTATCACTCTATCTGCTATACCACACTGGGCGAAATAGAATTACATAAACATTGTTCATTCTCAGTTTCATTAATGTGGATTTTCATTCTTACCTTCATTGAAGGTTTGGTTGGGATATTTCACAATATCTGGCCCAATTTTTAATGTTGGCGTTGGACAATTATATTCTGAAATTTGCCACCTAACCTGGCTTACACTTGAAGATGAAAAAGAAAAGAAACAATGTTAAATTTAGGTCCTATCCACACCAGCTCAATGCAAGGCCAATGGGAGTAGAAACAGTCCACATGATCCCCTCACTCATACTTTCCTTAGATGGCAGATCGTCTCTCCCTCCCCTGCCCCATTCCTCTTACACATATTTATTTTCCTGTGGACTTGTGTTGATTTGTATTTTTAAGCATATTATTAAGAAAACTGTCTTATAGCTTTCAATGTAGAATGAAACTTCATTTAAAAGAGGAACTGTATTATGTTAACACTCTGTCTTATACATTATTCATACAACAAATTGTATACAATATATTATGTGTTAGATCCAGGTTTTCCTTTTCACAGGGGCAGGATTGTCAATTTCTGTGGGACAGATTCTGCCCACTGCCTCCTAGGCACCCCAAAGCATACGATGTTGGGGGCCTACATTCGCCATTCTACCCCCAAAATTTTTCTCAATAATTTGCAGTCCAACTCCAGAAGCTTTCAAGGTTAGCCATTTTGGGTGATTGTAACCCCCTCTGGGTTTTTTGGCCAAAGGTGGCACATTTTCCAAAACTGGAAGTGACAGAGGAAGCAAAATAAGACTGGGGGAAAGCATATGACCACTCGCAGAAGGCCCCACCACCTAAATTTAGGGAGCATCTGTTGTAGAGTTTTTAATTTCTGGTTAAAATCATCTAGCTGTGCTGCAGAAGTGCAGGGATTCGCAGAACAGAATTACCTTCAAGTTCACTAATTTAATTCACACCTCTTTCATTATCAACTGGCACTTACAGTCTCAATAACTCACTCTGAGACATTATTAGGAGAAAGAATAAAAATATTTCATTTGCTTACAGTGTACAGCAAACTAATAACATAGCTGACTCAAGCAACAGGCCTCAACAGACTAAATGCTTCCAGCAGCATCTTCCTTCCTCTCCCGTACATGCAAATCACCCATATTCAGCAGGACCCCCAGAGCATTTGCATAGTAGTTTCAAGAGACTGTCATAGGAAAGAAGGCATGAGAAAGTCCACTTCCACCGAAAGCATTAGTAATATTAATGTTAATGCTAATCAATCAATCAATCAATCAATCAATCAATCAATCAATATTCACAGGTAGTTTACTAGTCCCTTCTTTTGGGGGCATTCTTGGACTGTGCAGCTTGTCCAAGGCTCCACAGGAAGAAGGACATATAACTCCATCAGCAACAGATGCTCTGGTGGCTCTCAGCTGACTCCCGCTCCCAGGAAGCATGGGTTCCACAGCAGGATACTTCTACCCATGGAGCCATAGCAGCCCCATATCATAAGGGTGGCATCATAACTCTATGGCCCAAGTCTGAAAAGCTTTTGATGTAGAAACATTAAAAGTGGGTTTCTAGCTACAAAATATTCATCTGAAGTATGTACACATTTCATTTATTGAGCTCACACAAGCAAACAACAATGGACACAGTCTCCAGCAATGTTTCACCAAAGCATGAAGCTGAACTGTATATAATTCCATTGAATCTTCAAAATGGGAGCAACTCTCAAAAAGAAGTAATAGTTTAATAAAAATATATAATATAGTGAAATACAAGTACGCTTGCTTCTTTACCACTACTTACTTTTGTGACTTGTTCGTGGGATCAAATACCGACAAATTTCTGACTGGAGTACAGTGAAAGAAGTATGGTAAGTAGACAGTAGCAGTAATGGTCAAAACCTGTACATAGAGGGAAAATATTGAAGTTAAGTACACACCGTCTGAAATGAACATCTTCATCCTATAAGAAAAGAAGTTAGTGTATATACGAATAAGGTAAAGATAAAGGTTCCCCTTGACATTTAGTCCAGTCATGTCTGACTCTAGGGAGTGGTGCTCATGCCCGTCTCCATGCCATAGAACCAGCATTTGTCCGTAGACAGTTTCCGTGGTCACATGGCCAGCGTGACTAGACATGAAATGCCGTTACCTTCCCACTGTGGTGGTACCTATTTATCTACTTGCATTTTTACATGCTTTCAAACTGCTAGGTGGGCAGGAGCTGGGACAAGCGATGGGTGCTCACTCCATCGCGTGGATTCGATCTGACGACTGCTGGTCTTCCAACCTTGCCACACAGAAGCTTCGGTGGTTTAACTCACAGCACCACCACATCCCTTTTGTATATATGCATACATACATATTTATACACATGATCACATACACATTGTCCAGATCAGGTAATTTTATTTTTATATTTAACAAGAGCTTGGTACTTCATATGAGAATATAGGACATGAAAGATTCAAAACAGAAAAACAAAATTTAAAAACAGGGTTAAGGTTTGTGACTACTGATTGCTATTATCTATGCCTGTATCTAATACCCTATAGTGTTGCAATATCATAAGCAGGGAGTGGACAACCTGTTCTGGTTACACCATCAGTTGTATTCATTTCCAGACCTAATTCACATGGCTGGCTAACAGTCTAATATTTAGTTCCCTAAAATATTACTAGTTTTTACATGTACTTACCTAAACCTCAAGCTCCTACTCAGAGATCTTACTAAATGATTCGAGGCAAGTGACTGCCAGGGAAAGAGTTTGTGGAACGTCCTCTTTTTGTGGTATTTTTAGTTCAGTGAAGGGTGCTTATTTAGTATGTGTTTTAACATAGAACTATCAGAACTCTTTAACAAATAATACATACCTACCTGCGAAGTTTTTTCATGATATTTTGTTTGTTTACATTGAAAGGGAAGGATATGTATCACTATGCAGCCGCCACATGCACACCTTCAATTATCAGGTGTTTTTCACCCCCTCCCTCAGCAAACCATTACCCATGGCAGCAAAGTTTCACTCCTCTTGCATTTAATCAACAGGTCTGATGACTGTTGGTTCCACTCTAACCTTTGTTGGCAATGACCAGCAAACCATATCTAAACACTTGGCCTAAAATCCATACTGTGATTATTTTTCAATGCCAAAAGTTAGCATTCTCTGGTGTGCTGTTAATCTGAAGCCTTGCAGGCTCTGCCTTTCATTCTTCTTAAATCTACTGCAAATGAAACACTCAACATGACACCATTAAATACTTACAAGGATCAGCACAGTTTCTAAGAGTTTAGTTGCTTTTCTAAGTGGTATTTTTAGAATTCTGCTGAAGACCAACATGCGCAATTTATTGATCTTTATATTCAAGGAAACGAAGAGAGCTCCCAAAAGGCCCCCAAGTATTCCCAGGAAAATGGCTGGAATGAAGGCCAAGACACTCATATCCAATAAGTTCTTAACCTGAAGTGAAAACAGGGGAAAATATATTCTGTGAATTTTGCCAGTTAATCAATATACAGCAGCCACACTGTCAGAAGAAATATGACACAACAGCTCAACAACTAAGCAGAAATGAGATGTATAAAAAAACAGATTGTTCTCATAAGAGCTTATGGGTCATAGCCAAGGAATGCATGCCAGATCCTTCAAGATATCCATTGCTCCATTCATCCTTTAGAATCAACAAGAATACATGCAAACCTTTTATAGAGGAGCCGAGTGTGTAGTTTTGTATAACACCAGATTCAGCCTCAAGTAAGCTGTAGAATTCTATATTGTTCTATGCACAAGACCAATTTTGGACAACTGAAAGTTGTAAAAGCTCATCTGTTATAATGGTGTATGGCAGAGTTAGTCAGAAAATGGTGCTAGATGATAATGGAATTTGGTAAATTGGCTGGCCATTATAGCTATTCTTGTATACTGATATCTGATCTCTTCCTTGGAAACTGCTAACTTTGCTATAGGAATTTCACAGAATCCTGAAATCACAGAATTATAGCATAATTGAGTTGGAAGGGGCTTATAAGGCCATCAAATCCAACCTTCTACTCAATGCAGGAATCCAAATCAAGGTAGTTCTGACAGATAATGCATACCTCACTCTATCTGTCTCTTGAACTGTTCCTGCTCCTGTCCTAATATTTCTTATTGCTTTCTTTAACACTTAAATTGTACCCCATTCCTATCTTCCTTTTTAAAAATACTTTTACTGCTTTAACATTCATCTCCTCCAGTAACAACTCAAGCAATCACACTTCTTGAACTAATGTGAATGCATCCAATTCTTTAAAAAGTAGAAGTGCCAGAAGCGGAGGGAAAAAGTATGGATTGTGGGGGGAAATTGTCGACTGAATCATGTTGACTTCTACATCATGTAGTCAATGAAAAATCATAAGAATCAGACCATCCCAATCCTGGAGCATTCCCACATTATTTGATCATGTAGTTGCACTCAAACTTCTGCTGCAACAGCAGAATGCATCCTTCATCGTAAAATAAGAGAGAAAAGTAATAACTTGGAGAAATACATAATGGTGAAAAAATTCCACACCTAGACACAGTCTTCTGCTTTTTTGTGGTGGCACCATACTTCTTGTGGCACAAACATACTATGCTTCTGCCATATCCTATAATCTCAGCTACCATTTTCCCAATATAGAATTGCAACGTACATATGCATAGGTAGATATATTTCCTTTCTTAAATATAACATATGTGAAGAGGAACCATAAATGAATAACATCAGAAAGATCAAGAGTGAAGAAGTATGCTTTGTATTTGCCATATGTGCTTTGTACTGATTCATCATTCCTACCTGTCTATGTTCCACATTTTAACCTGCTCCTTAAAACTTAAATTCTATCCCCAGCTATGAAGAGTTTCAACTTATTCTTAGTAACAAGATAAGTAACAGTGTTACACTGAGTAAAAATGAGCAATAAATAAACTGGCCTGCCCACTCCTATACATGTTTAACCAGAAAAAACCTCAATGCATTTGTTGTCACTTACTCTAAGTTAAATGTATATACAATGGCAGCTTTTATAAACAGTAAATTCAGACTTCCATAAAACCCCACATTTTGGGAGGGGAAAATCAAAGAGATAAGCAATAGCCTCCTTTACAATCCTATGTTGAAGAGAGTGAAACTGAAGAAGATAAAAATACTTTTCTTGAAAATAATAACCCACAAGCTTTCCACTCAGAGTTTCTGCTATAAAACATGAAAGGAGCCACATTTCCCTGGAGATTATTGTTAACTCAAATGAAAACATTTCTGATTGTTTGGCCTAGTTGGCAAACAAAACACAGTGGAGCCTTGGTAAAAACCATGTTGGCAGCTGTTTCTTTGGGAAACAGGAATCAAAATCAGTGGCTTTTTTGTGAAACATCCTAAATAAGCTTCTTAAGGAATGATAAACTATTATTCAAGGCAAAAGCCAGTACAATTCCCTTGTATAGACTTGGATGTTAATTACAGAGAAGTAGATTTCTGCATATTGAACAAGTCTTCCCTCAGGAAAGAAGTTCCATAATCCCTTCAGGTACCCATGTACCCCCAACTCCCCAAAACCACAGCCCTATAATAACGGATTATCTTATGTCACACAGCAGAGGCATCCACCATAGCATCTGTCTCACAGATGACAACTGTGTGTGGCTAGGACAGAGTACACATGGAAAACAAAGAGACTTAAACCATATATTCGCGAAGGCTTTCACGGCCAGGATCCAATGGTTGTTCTGGGGTTTTCGGGCTCTTTGGCCATGTTCTGAAGGTTGTAACGTTTCGCCAGTCTCTGTGGCCGGCATCTTCAGAGGACAGCAACCCATGTCCACTCCCAAGCCAACTACACCAGAGTACAGGTTGCTGTCCTCTGAAGATGCTGGCCACAGAGACTGGTGAAACGTTAGGAAGAACAACCTTCAGAACATGGCCAAAGAGCCCGAAAAACCCACAACAACCATTAGACTTAAACCATCTCGGACTGAGCAAAGCACCTTTACAGCTGAAATCTGTTATACTTTGTCCAGAAACTGAAAGCTGAAATAGACATTACAGTTATCCCATGGTTATCAGAGAACCGTTCTTAAGTGCTTATCATGTGTGTTACAGCAGGAACTCCTCTCATCTCCTGAAGCTTACTAATGAATCTCCTTCTTCAGCATTTAGACCTAGGTTTCCCCTGAGGTTTCATCTCTCAAACCCAGAAGAGTCACTTCTCTCCAATAGGAATGTGCTTTTGTTATCTATAACAATTGTTTCTGCCATCATATTGCTGACACTCATAAAATCCAGGTGTCACAAGCTCCCAGAAAATAATTTGAGGCTGCCAAAAGTAGTACTACTGCATTCCTGACCAAGTAACATTTTGATAATGTCTTCAAAGGTAATTCCATGACTCACACTAGTCAGTTGAGAAGCTGCTATTGTGTGCAGGTAAGATCATTGCTGAAGTGGCCATTTGAATATTCAGAAGCTGTGCCAGGATCAAGGGTGCTCACAAACCATCAGTCTGGGCCTTAAGACAATGTGACTACTAGCAAGAGTCTTCCCCAAGACTCATATCAACAGGGCAACCCATAATCAGCACCTTGACATATCCAGACTGCAATTTTGTTTATTCACCCCCACTCTACTCTTTAAGGAGCTTGGCCAGTCTTTTTCTATACAGATGGTTACCTGTATGCCTTATGCGGGTGAAAAGGAGGAGAAGGAGCTTGGTATCATTATCTCCTGAAAATACTTGTGTTTCACATAACAGCTTTTAGGTTATATTCCTAGCTGTTTGGAATGAAGGCTGCAACTATACTGGCAAGCCAAATTGATTTGATTCGTAGCCTGTATTACAGTTGAATTAGCAGTCAATGATCCCACAACGGCTGCAGAGATTCAGGACCTCAGTGTTCACACTCAATAACATGCCATTTTCATTTCGACCCACACACCCCTTCTTTCCTTCCTTCCCCTTGTCCTGTCTCTGCTGAACCTTTTATGGTTTGTTGTCAAGCCACTTGATTTTGAAAGAGTTCAGTCTTTCCTTCCATTGACCTAATATTTCTGTGGATGTGCAAGTTCATTATTTTCCAATAACAGTGACAGTCACACCACAAACTTCACTGTCAGTGGCACCTTGAGACCAGGCGCTGTATTCTTATGTAAGCTTTCATGGATCAAGTCCACTTCCTCAGTTATCTAGGATCTGGACTTGATCCATGAAAGCTCACATTAAAATAAAGCAATTAGTCTTTAAGGTGCCACAACATTTTTGTCTCTTGTTTTTATTTTGGTTTCTTTTGTCTTTTTTTGTCTGATATACTTGCATAGACTAATACAGCTACTCCTTCAAAATGGCATCTCAAAGGGATGGGGGTGTCAATTCCCCTCAATGCTCCTAGTCTCTACATAGTTTTTTAAATTGTTTTAACTCCACACTGTAGCACCCTATTGCTATGGCACTTAGGAGATCTAATTAAACAAAAAGAGAAAGGTAGAAATAGCTAATTAACACCTTAAGGCTAGAGCTCCATGCAAATGGTGCTCTCTGCCTCTGCTCTGCTGACTAATGCAAAGTATTGTCTGAATGCCTATAGCACTTTACCAGGGGAAACTCAATTTAATAATTGATCTATTGTGAATACACAGTAGATCAAACTATGCTTTCCCCACCATGTAGCTGCACCCTTAGATCAGTAATTGGTCTCACCCAAGCAGTATGTAGTTTATGTTTCTGTATGGTGAATTCACAGATTCTCTTCTCATATCAGTACTAAGTAAATACTGTACATATTATGAAGTACTAAATGTATGAATACAATCTTTTTTTTTGAACTACATACCAGTGATCTGGGAGATAAAAAATAAGAGAGTAAGTATGCTACCTTAATTTTTAAAAAATAATTGCCTGCTGTGGATCCTAAGCAAATGCAGTTTAGCCCTGAAATAGAATAACATAGTTCTCTGGTTTACAAAGGCATATCACATGGAGTTATGTAAATAATATCCAGCAAAGGAAGAAACAGTGTTATGCAGATGATGGAGGTATGTAAATAATATCCAGCAAATGAAGAAATAGTGTTATGCAGATGATGTAGAGGAAAGGAAAAACAATTAAACATATCCAGTACTGTCCAAAACCAAAGTGTTAAATGTAACAATGACCTCATCTAAAATACTTAATGCAGAAAGGAAAAGAAACTCTTAAGAGCTCAGGACCTCTTTGAGCGTTGTTACAGGTAACTACATTCCCATTCGTGTTTCATTTCTTAGAGTTTTTCCTCACTTCTTTGTATCTTAGCCATAGTCAATTATATTTGCAAAATTCCATTATCATCCATTTGGTTAAATATCAGACGGAAAAGAACATGACACCATATATATTAAAGAAGAGTCTGCAAGTAATCATCTTAAATGATCGGAAACTGCAAATATAAAATGGAAAAATATATAGGTACTTCTAGCCAATGTGGCAGTTTTTTAGTATGGCTTCAAGTACCGCTATAAAACAAGGTTGTTCTGCAAAACCTCTCTCACACTCAGTTCACTTGCCAAAAACACCAGTATTACAAGGTATTACTTGTCCCCAATTAATTTTTGCACCTATTTTTGTTTAGATTAAGTGGTGGAGAGATAGAGCCTTACGTTTTATAGTATACTCGCAGGGAAACATACATTAGTGTGCACCTGCAAATATAAACGCTATGCTCTGCCCCACACTAACATTATTTAACTTGCTTTCATACACCACACAGCCAGAGGAGACCCAAGCCCTGTCTGTCTCCATCATCACTTTCTCCACATGAGGAGCAACACAGCTGCAGAGGTGCAGTGGTAACTTCATACTTACCCAAAATAAAATTCTCTTCTCTGCTTTGAAAAATCCAAACTGACCCCTGTAAACAAACCCACAAAGAGAAGAGGAGAGCAGATCTGTTGTGAAGGTAGCCATCAAGCAGCAGAAGAATGTTTGCCAGGCCAATTTGATATCCCAGAAAGATGCCACCTCCTCTAATGTAAATAGAAGTCCACCCACTGGGGCATGAAATACAGAAGCAATCCCTGCTCCAGCACCAGCCGTAACAAAATTCCTCCTGTAACAAGATGGGGGATAGAGGTTGGAAATATATACTGTATATTTTTTTAAAAAAAAATTATAAAGGCACAGCACAAGGGTCCCCCTGGTTATATGTTTATTGGTCTCTGGATAGGAAAACTATGTTGTTAACCTTTAGATTACAAAATCGCATCCTTAAATAACTGCTAATGGTGAATCTGGAAAAATTGCTATCCTTAAGCTTTGTGGGAGAAATGGAGGTACAGTTTAAAAGTTCACATAAAACTACACACATATTTTGAAAAGCAAGTGGCTGAAATGTGTACCCTTGGTAAAATATGCACAAAAAGGCTTTAATCAACGATATAATGTTTTGTAAATTAAGTAAGATATGTGAAGTTCAGATGTTGGATAAAATATATAAATGAGGTTTTTCAAATGTCAAACTAAGAACAAAAACCAAAACTTTGCAACTTGATATAAAGCAAGGACAGCAGGATAATATAGATAAGATGCTGAGAAACAAGGTAAAATCAGGACTGAGAGGTTTTTGTTGCCCTGAAGCATTTAGAAACGACAAACTATGAATATTGGTTCAGACAGAACACAAAGCTTTTTCTTAGCACTGAATTTCTGGTTATTAAAGCCATTCTTGCCAGAAAAGGCAAGAGGGAATGATTGGGTAGCATATACAGTGGTGTCTCGCAAGACAATTGCCTTGCTGATCGAAAAACGCGCTAGACAAATGGGTCCGGCGAGGTTTTTGGTGCCTCACAAGACTATTGTTCCTATGGTGGTTTTCCGCAAGACGAATGTTGCCGTACAGAAGCTAGCTGAGCACCATTTTTGAAGTTCCTGCCTTTTCCCCCTGCCTTCAGGAAGGCTCCAAACGTAAAAAGAAAAAAAAGGAAGCCTTTTTACATTCTGAGACTTGCCAAAGGCAGGTGAAAAGGATGGGAACTTCAAAAATGGCACTTGGCAAGTCCCTGCAAGTGCCCATCGCCACCGCCAGTGCTCTGATGGTGCAGGGGAAGCCTCTAAAGGGCTCCAAACCTGGTGTGCGTGGTTGCGGGAGACCCCCGCCAGTGCTATGATTGCTTCCCCTGCACCATCCAAACACTGGCAGAGATCCCCCGCAATCTCGTGCACCGGCTTCAAAGCCCTTTGGAGGCTTTCCCTGCACCATCCGGGGAATCACGGGGGTCCCTCCACGCGGTGATGGGCACTTGAAAAGGCTTGCCAAGCACCATTTTTGAAGTTCCTGCCCTTTTCTCCTGCCTTCGGCAAGCCTCGGAATGTAAAAAGCCTTTTTTAAAAAAAAAATTCCATTCCGAGGATTGCCAAAGGCAGGGGGAAAGGGTGGGAACTTCAAAAATGGTGCGTGGCAAGCTTCTGCAAGTGCCCATCACTACGTGGAGGGACCCCCACAAGTCCTCGGATGGTGCAGGGAAAGCCTCCGAAGGGCTCTGAACCCGGCGATCGCAGTTGCGGAGGGCCCCTGCGAGTCCTGGGATGGTGCAAGGGAAGCCCTGGAGGACCCCCAAAGCCAGCGATCATCACGAGGGTATCCCCCACCAGTCCACCGATGGTGCTTCCCCAGCTCCCTACCTGGTAAGTGACTTTTTTTAAAAAAAAATTCCCCATAGGAACACACTGATTAAATTTCAATGCATTCCTATGGGAAAATGCATTTCTCAAGATGAATTTTTTGCAAGACGGCATTGACTGCGGAACAAATTAAATTCATCTTCTTGCTACTGTACAGTGGTGCCTTGCTTAACGGGCGCTCCATTTAGCGACAAAATCGCTTAGCGACGGCTTTTCCGGAGCGTTTTGGCACTTCGTTTAGCGATGGTCCCTATGGACAATTTTCGCTTAGCGATGGTGGGACCATGCTTCACATTGCGATTAAATTTTGGGTCCCTTGTTTTGCTTAGCGATGATTTAAACAGCCCGGGAGTCATGCTTAGCTTGAATGTCATTTTAATGGTCGCTGTTTTGCAATGCGACTGCCTCCGGGTTGTTTTTCCCTGTTGTTGTTTTCTTTCCAATTTAAACAGTCAATACCCAGGATGCATTGTGCCTTGTGGGGGGAAGGTTTAAAAACCCTTCCCCAATGCATCCTGTGCTCTTTTACATGTGGAGTTGCAGGACTGACTTGGTGAGGAGCAACTTTGGTCTGTTCTGGAGAACTTGGCTAGCAGAAGGTAAGTTTGCATTTGTTCTCCTGTGTGGGTGGTGGGTTTTATTGCATAAATCTTACAGGTATTTTTATTTTCTTATTTTTGGTTACAGTAAATTGCAGGGAGGGTTGTGCATGCCTTTTCCTTAATTTTCCTGCTGTTCTGTGCATGCATGGTTCTTGGATTTGAAATTTTAGATTTAAAACCTGAATTTAAAAATTTTACTGGCTACTGTTTTGTTCTTCTTGGTTGGGGGGGGAAATGTTGCATGAGTCTTAATTTAATGGTTTTCCTTAAATGGTTTTTCCTGGGAGAATTTGGATCTGCTATTGCATTCGTTCTGTGTGGGAGAAGCATGCAGAAATGTGATTTAAAATTTTGGGT